ATCATAGACTTCCTGTTTAAGAGCTGCCCGAAACTCCGCGACAAGTATGACACGCCTTACATCGTGTGGAACAGCCTTCCCACCGACCCCCAGCTCAAAGAGAGGACAAACGCCACGGTGTCGAGACGGGTAAGGCAAACACACCCCAACACCAACCCACACACGTTTTCTACCACCAACACTGCTTCCTGTCTCAGGTTTTTTTAAATTAAAATCTTAAATAAGAAAATATTTCTTCCTTTAGCCCATCCTGATTTCAAACTTAAAGACCTGAGTTGTTAACAGGTTTATACCACAGAGGCTTTCACTTGCATTGCAAAACTTCTCCCAGGCGAGAAGTTTGAGTGAATTCACATTATTTGCAGATTAATATATAAGCAATCATCTCAAACACACACACACAAGAAGAAAGGCACATATACCACCTCCATTACTCAGAGGGATCATCCATCAGCAGCAGGTCGGGTCCAGTCTTTCATGTTGTCAGCAGTCCACCCACTATAGCCCACCTCCCACTGACTCCCTTTGTGGTGATAAAAATAGATCAATAAAGTATCAAAACTATGGCGCTGGCAGCCTTAGCCCAATTTCCCTCGGGATGAATAAAGTATGATCAATCAATCAGTATATCAGCCCTCCTGTCAATAATGCAATACAATTGAGCCCGTGATTGTTCTGTGTGGGACCACAAAGTTCCTCTTACATGAATGTCTGAGTGTGTGTTTGCCGTGGCCGCAGTCACAGGTCTGCTCTGTCGTTTCTCTCTCTCAGCTCTCTGGCACTGAGAAGGTAGGGCCTCTGGTGTGTCTACTCTACTGTGCTTGTGTGTGCTGCCAGTTCACCACAATGCGTGTGTGTGTGTGTGTGAGTGATGTGTGACACACCTAGTGAGTGGCTGTCAGTAATTTGTGAATGCAGTGGATCAAAATGTCAACAAAACGGTCTGCGATTTTCCTTTTTGCTCTTTGACACTGCGGTGTTTTTATTCTCTTTTGTTTGAATGATCTTTAAGAGCCTGCAGCCCCGTGACATTTTGGATCCACGAACATAGATGCTTGTGAGAATTGGCAGTGTGTTTACTGAGTAGGCACGTAGAGAAGATTTGACGAGTGTAGTTTCATGTCAGCGCATTAATATCGTCCTGTTCCCCTTAAATACACCATAACTGCTGTTAGATCATTAGATTCAAACTCTTATGTAAAAAGGCCTGCATAAAAATGAACCGAACAGTTGATCTTACCATCGAGGTGGTGGCCACAGGCTGCTGCTCTCTCCTTCTCCCTCTGACTGATTTTTCTCTAGTTTTACTTTTTCCTCATTGTTCTTGTCACTGCTGTTAGCAGGAGATGGATCTGCAGAACAGGCTGTCCGTCTCCTTCAGGGTGATGCATCCACGTGTTGTCACAAGAAGCTTTGCTGTCTCCCAGCATAGGAGTGTGGAGGAGGTACTAGGAGCTGGGCCCATTGCAAGAGTAAAGCTGGACAGGGCCATAGATGGGCATCAACCCAGCAGCAGCACCAGTATCTGTTCCTCTGTGTGAGGAGGAACAGGAGGAGTACTGCCAGAGCTCTACAGAATGACCTCCAGCAAGCTAATCATGTAATTGAATCAGACTGCAAGAGGGTGTCATAAAGTCCTGGTGTCCGTGCAGCTCATGCATTTGCTCGTTGGCTTTTGGGGTTTTTTTGGTTTTCTTTTTTTTAAGCTTCAGGACCGTGAGGATTTCATGCCACCTCTTGGAGTCTGATTCTGTTAGTTTGATCAGAAGCACAGGAAGCGTGCTGCAGGTCATTCTGCAGAGCTTTGGTACAGAAAAGCAGATGTGCTGCTAAACTCATGTAATGCCCGCCTCCTGGTTTCTCCC